TATATAAATTTCAAGTGTGAATGAATATCTAGGATGGTTATCAAATCAAAACATTTCATTAATTATTGCTAATAAAAAAAACAATAATAATTTTTTTTTTTTTACTTTTGAATATGTTAATCTTTTGCCATTAAGAAAACAAATCATATTTATTAATTATTAAATGTCTCTATTTCCATTTTTTGGTAGTTTGTCAAGATACTGGCTGCAACTTTTGATGTTGGTTGCAACCACATAGTCTTATTGCTGGCATTGCCTTAATTTCTTATTACAAATTCATTGAATCATTTGATGGTAATCTCATTTAAATTTACACCATCCTCTTTATCATGTTTGCTTTCATTGATATTGCCACCTTCTCCCTCATTGTAAAGATGATAAAGAGTCATTAAAATATCAATAAGTAGAATTTGTTAAATTAATGTTGGTATTCATGCATAATAGAATAATGTTGACAATATATTACAGTTAAATTAAATCAATTATAATATTTTGCAAGTAAGAATTAATTAATTAATGATATCTTTATTATTGTTGTATTTTTTCTCTAAAGAAAGAGATTAACAATTTATCAAATTCACAAAGTTATCAACAATTGCCTTAATTTCACCACAACTTTATTTGTCACAACCCATCTATGTTTTTTATTATAATCAAGCCATAATCAAGCCAATTTTCAGAAGTTTAAGCATTTATGTTATATTTTTTATCCCCAAAATTGTTTAACAAGTTAATGTAGTGAAGGTGATTATATTTATTTAGTTAGGATATGATTATTGAATAATAAAAAATAAAAACATTATTAGTAGTAGTATATGCTCTATTAGTCACAACATTGATTGATCATTAAATAAGGACAAGTTTTACAACAACACCTTCTCTTTAAAGCCACCAATTTTCTTAAAACATCCAAAAATCATTTAATCAATATAATAATTTTAAAAATATTTTTTTCAATAAATCAATTATTAATGAAATAGTATGTGCATAATTCTAATAATTGTAAGAATCTTGTTCTCATTTTGCCATAATATCCAAATGTTTTGTCACTGGTAGGTATATCAGTTGATTCATC